TCATTTTCTTGATTAATTGCCCTGGCTAAAACCTTCAGTATAATATTCAACAAAAGTGGTAAGAGTGTACATCTTGACTTTTTTTTTTCTGAGATAGGGTCTTGCTCTGTCACCAGGGCTAGAGTGCAGTGTCATCATTAGAGCTCACTGCAACCTCAAACTTCTGGGCTCAAGGGATTCTCTTGCCTCAGCCTCCCAAGTAGCTGGGACTACAGGCACTCACCACCATGCCCAGATGAATTTTTCTATTTTTTATAAAGATAGGGTCTCGAACTCCTGACCTTAAGCCATCCTCCCACCTCAGCCTCCAAAAGTTCTAGGATTACAGCATGAGCCATTGTGCCTGGCCTATACCCCTGTCTTGTTCCTGATCTTAGGGGGAAGTATCCAATTTTTCACTATTAATTAAGTATGTTGTTAGCTGTGGGTATTATAGAGGCCCTTTATCACATTGAGGAATTCCCCTTCTATTCCTAGTTTGTTGAATGTTTTTATCATGAAACGGTGTTGGATTTTGTCCAATGCTTTTCCTGCAATTATTGAGATAATCCTGTGGGGCTTCCCCCTTGTTTTTAAATTGAGATGTAATTTACATGCCATAAAATTAATCCTTTTGAAGTACACAATTCAGTGGTTTTAAGTATACTTACAGAGTTGTGCCACCATTGTCCCCATTTAATTCCACATTTTCATTTCCACTAAAAGAAGGTCTGTATACCTTATCAGTTACACCCCATCTTCTCTTTCCCCAAACCCTTGACAGCCACAATTCTGCTTTCTGTCTCTGTGGCTGTACCTATTCTGGAAATTTCATGTCAATGGAAACATGCAACATGTTATCTTTTGTATTTGGTTGGCTGCTTTGACGTAGCATAACGCTTTTAAGGTTTATGCATTCTGTAACATGCATCGATACTTCATGTCTTTTTATTGTTGAATAATAGTCTGATATATGTTTACCCCGTATTTTGTTTATCCATTCATTAGTTGATGGACATTTGGTTGTGTTCCACTCTTTGGCTACTATGATTAATGCTGTTATACATATTTGTGTATAAGTTTTTACATGAAATTATGTTTTCAATTCTCTTGGGTATATACCTAGGAGTGGAATTGCTGGTTCACATAGTGACTATATGTTTACGTTTTGAGGAACTACCAAACTATTTTCCAAAGTGGCTACACCATTTTAAATTCCTACTGGCAATGTATGAGTATTCCAATTTCTTAACATCCCCATCAAATCATCTATTTTTTCCTTTATTCTATTGATATGATATATTACATTAACTCATTTTTTTTTTTTTTTGAGACAGAGTCTCGCTTTGTTGCCCAGGCTAGAGTGAGTGCCGTGGCGTCAGCCTAGCTCACAGCAACCTCAAACTCCTGGGCTCGAGTGATCCTTCTGCCTCAGCCTCCCGGGTAGCTGGGACTACAGGCATGTGCCACCATGCCCGGCTAATTTTTTATATATATATCAGTTGGCCAATTAATTTCTTTCTATTTATAGTAGAGACGGGGTCTCGCTCTTGCTCAGGCTGGTTTCGAACTCCTTACCTTGAGCAATCCGCCCGCCTCGGCCTCCCAAGAGCTAGGATTACAGGCGTGAGCCACAGCGCCCGGCCCATTAACTCATTTTTGATGCTAAACCAACTTTGCATTCCTGGGATAAACCACACTTCATTAATATGTATAATCCCTTTGTTACATTGCTGAATGTGATTTGTTAGTATTTTCTGAGGATTTTTGTGTCTATATTTGTAAGAGATATTTATTTATTTTAAAGGGATGACAGTGAATATCAAACTGCCATGGTACTTATATTCCATTGAATACATTTAAAAGAATGATGTAGCAGCTTTTTTTTTTTGAGACAGAGTCTCACTTTGTTACCCAGGCTAGAGTGAGTGCCGTGGCATCAGCCTAGCTCACAGCAACCTCAAACTCCTGGGCTCAAGTAATCCTCTTGCCTCAGCCTCCCAAGTAGCTGGGACTACAGGCATGTGCCACCATGCCAGGATAATTTTTTCTATATATATTAGTTGGCCAATTAATTTCTTTCTATTTATAGTACAGACGGGGTCTTGCTCTTGCTCAGGCTGGTTTCGAACTCCTGACCTAGAGCAATCTGCCCTCCTCGGCCTCCCAGAGTGCTAGGATTACAGGCGTGAGCCACCTCGCTGGCTGATGTAACAGCTTTATCTCCAAATGTCAATAGCTACACTATCCCAGCAATTACATATTTTATGGGTATTTAAACCCATGATGAAAATTTCAGATGTCACTTTAAAAATGTGTGAAGTGGCATATAGTTTGTCAAAATTATTTTTGAAGGTACAATAAGAGAAATGGTTTGAAGATCACTGCTGCAGTCACTTTGGGGAGACATTGGAGGGTTTTGAGCTTAAGAGTAACGTTATCTTTTAGTGTTTAACAAATCACTGCCGGGGACAGGGTGGGAGCGAGAGGCCGTTGTGGGGACCCAGCCTATGTGGTGGCATGGACCAGAGTGCCAGTGTAGGCAGTGAGAAGTGGTCGAATTTTTAATGCACGTTGAGAGCAGTGCCAAAGGGTTTGCTAACTGACCTGATGTGCCATGTGGGAAGGGAGAGAAAGAGAGAATACGACTCTAGCTACAGAGTTTGGGGCTGATTAACCTATCTACTCATCTCTAAACTCACCTCTAAAATGGGTTTGATAACACCCCTTGGCCCATAGAGCTGTTACTGTGGGGTTTAATGGAGATCTAATGCTGCTGAGCTATCAAAGGCACAGCGCCAGGCTGCCTGGCGAAAGGTTACAAACTTTAGCTATTTTAGTGGCATCCCTCTTAGAACCTGATATTCTTGTCCCTTATGTTTTATGTTTTAAGTCTTTAGTATTTTGTCTTCTTTTGTTTTTACACTAAACTCTACCTTAATAAATAGCAAGAGTGAGTCTTCCAGATCTTTGCCTCCTCAGCTCCCAGCCCATTACTTGGAACATGTATCCCATCAATATGATGTTCCAAAATCTGTTCCCTTTGGTCCCCCATTATCTCACATTCCAAATTCCTTAACCTGACTATAAGGCCCTATTTTCCTCTCTTCCTCCCTTACTGACTCCCAAATCCCCATCATCCATAAATGTAGATAATGGTATGTTGAACATTTATTTTAACACAGTTGAAAATGAAGCCTGGAGAGGCAAGACCCCAGGAGGTAACCCTTACTTTTCCCTCTGTTGTCCCAAGCTCTTGCTAGAAACTTGCATACTCCCCTCAGGCAAACAAAAGCCCTGCAGTTAACAGAAGGTCTCTTTTGAAGGCAAGTTAGCAGAGCTCTCACTTACCACAATGCTTTGCAGTGTCCTATTCATCAGTCTGTCTCACTCCTCACCTCCGCAGGATCTAGCCCAGGAGAGCCTGTCATATAACAGATGTTCAATAGCCATTCTCTAAGCACTGCTGGGTGCCAAAGGGAAATGTGATGAATTAGACTTGGAGATGGAGAAATGGAACATTGAGCAAGAAGTCAAAAAGGGTAGTTTAACTTGGGGCTTAAATTGAGGCTATGACAATAATTGCAAGATCTAGGAAAACTCATTTTTACTTTTCTCAATTGCAAAATGGGCCTATTAATAGCAACTGTGGTGACTTTCAAACTTTTTTTTACTGGAACTCTCAGTTAGGTATATGCTTTACAATGTGATGAGAACACACACATGCTCAGACACACACAACTGAAACACAAGGTCATGAAACAATACATACCCTCACTTCTAATGATGTTATTTTTATTTTAGCTTAATTCATTTTTTAAAAGTAATAATCATGACTGATCAGATAGATTTTATAGCCCTTTTATGGCTTTTGACCCACAGTTTAGAAAATATCACTTTGGAAATTTAAATGAGATAATGCATGCAAAGGATTTGGACAGAGGAAAGCTCTCTAAAAGTGAGAAGTGCTGTCGTAGAGAAAACTACAAAGTGAAGTAAGCAGGAGAGGTGTCAGTTAATTCTGCTGGCAAGTGGGAAAGAGGAAGGTTGAGGATGAATAAAATATTGAAAATACCAGGACTGGAAAAATTTCAGTGCTGCTTAGAACCTTCTCAGCCCTCATCTTTGCATGACTGGTTTCTTCTCATCCATCTCTGGGTTCTCAAGTAAAATGCCCCGCCCCATGAAGCCCTCCCAGAACAATAGCGCCTGCCAACCTTCCTTTATCTTACTGTATCTTAAATTACCCCCTTCTTCCCTCATAGAGTTATTCTTATCTGAAATCAATTCCTTATTTGCATGTTTGTTGCCTGATGTAATCCTTCCAGTTGGAGGACAGGAATCTTATCTATCTTGCTTATAACTGTATCCCTGATAAATACATTGCCTAGCATGTTATGCAATAAATAGTTCTTGAATGAATGACCACCAGAAAATGAGCAAGAAGGCACATTGTAATCAAATATAAATGTAATCAATCCCTTACGGATTTTTTTAAAGTGATAGGTATTGGAGTTTATACTTTGCCTCGTTTATGATTCATGAAAGTTGGGTGATGCGAGAAGAAAGTAACCAAGACAGGAACGCTTACAAGGGGTTGGGTATCTAGGGTACCATAATTAAGATAATACATTATTTGGGATTCTAGTTACTCGGTTCACATTCTGTTTCCCTTTGAGATCCTTGAGGGCAGGGCCAGCTTGTTGATTTCTGTTGCCCTGAAAGTAGTGGGCGCTCAGTCAACCTTTGAGGAATGAGAAAACCAAGCAGGGAACCAATCAGGAATTCGTGAATGAGTGACCTGGCTCGCACAGGTTGCAGTTCCTCCCCGGGGCAGGAGGCGGCGCCAGCGTTACGCCAGCCTGGCCGCCGGCAGTTCTTGGTCCCTCCGGCGGACCGTCCAACGCTAGGCCCCGCGGCCTGTGCAGGAGTTAGCCAATAGAAAGCCGTTTTAGTTGGGCGGTCTGGCAAAAGTGCCCAATAAGCGTGGCGGATGTAAGCAAGGGGCGGTGCGACGGGGAGGGGCAGAAGGGAGCGGTTAGAGGTGGGGGTTGGCGCTGCGGGCCGGGCGGGGGCCGCGGAAGCTGCGATGCGGACGGGCCCGCGGCAGTGACCCGAACTGCCGCCCGACATGAACTCGCTGGAGCAGGCGGAAGGTAGGGTGGGCCCCGGGCCCGTCCCAGGACTCCTCTCGGAAGCTGGCGGGGCTGCGGAGGGCCCGCAGTCGCGGACACCCCGCCTGGGGAGAGGAGGCCGCGGAGGATGGAGTGGCGGGGCCCGGGGCTTGGGGGCGCGGGGACCTGCCGAGGGGCGGCCGGACCTGGCCCGGCGCCGGGGGCCGTGCAGCAGCTCCCTCCATTCTCCAAGCCCTGCGCAGACCGTGGAGCTCCTCTCCGGGTTTCACTTTGCTTTCTGCTCATTGGCAAACGCTTGCACGCCGTGCACTGTGGTGTGGTTATTCTGGTTATTCATTTTATCCTCATTCTATTCCTACAACCCGACAAGTCGTCTCCCCAGTCCTGCTGTGGTTTCCGGTAACTGTCGAGGTTAGGACGTGCTTCTTGGTCTTTCAAAGTGTAAAACACACCACTGTGGAAAGGATACCCCACCTCTCCTTCGGAGAGAGCATCTTGGACGCCCCTGTGTTTTAGAATTAGGCGTCGGCGCTTCGATAGTGCCAGGAAGATCACCTGCAACCCATTTGGAAGGAGGAACGGGGAGTGTCTTTCCACACCCGCCGGTTATCAGCGTCTGGAAGTCTAGTAAGACCAGACAGCGGAGCCGTTCATTAAATGTAAGAGCTAGACACTAGGGTCGGTAACTGCCGGCGATTAGACCTCAAAGACTTTGGTAGCAGGTAATGACGTTCTAACAACGTTTTTGGTTCCAACAGAATTAAAACTCGACCTGATTTTGATCCTTTTATTTGCATCCCCCAAAATTCTAGCTTTTGGCGCCGGCTGAGGTTGCTGCTGATTTTTCCACATACTATTTAACGAAGCTTCTAAAAGTAAACCAGCCAGTTTCCTTATATGTGAAATTGGAGTTAAATAAACCTAATGCTTTTGTCAAGTGCTTAAAGCTGTCATAGTAAACGAAGTAAACAGTGCAGTGATACATGTAAGTTGGCGTGTAAGACCTGAAGCAGTTAGAGTATCTAAAATTTTGTCTTAATAGACTCAAACTAGTTAAGAGTGGCTAATTAGAAAATTGAAATCTTTTTACCTAGATCTCAAAGCTTTTGAGAGGAGACTTACTGAATATATTCATTGTTTGCAACCTGCCACTGGACGTTGGAGAAGTAAGTTCCTGAATGTTTTTTAAGGGAAAATAAACTGATAGTTGATACTTTTTCCATATGTAGGAATGATTTGCTTTTTGTATAAAATTTTTGAATGATTTTTGTATAAAATTCTAGATTAGCAAATGCTTACTTTTAGTAAATCATAAGATTTCTTTTGGTTTAGACAACTTTTATATTTATTTAACATTGTAAACAATGCATTATAAAGAAATTTTTAAGAAAATAAAATCATAACTGGTCTCTCTAAAAGAACAATCCATTTATTGTAGTTGAATTTTTATTTTTCCATTAAAATACATAGACTTTAATTTTTATTAAACAAATATTCCAATTTTGATAACACATAAAAATTTCAATAGTCTGTTAAGCAGTTTTATAATTTGCCTACAAACTATTGAATAAAATTTTATTAAGAAAAATCATATTACTTAATGTGTACTTGCAAAGGTTATGAAATTACCTGTAGTTGATTTTTAACAAACCATAATTGTGTTGCTTTGGAGCCTGATGGAGAAAAGAAATTCACATTATTACTGTGTATTCATAAATATCATGAGTGCTTCAAAATATGATTTGAACGAATTGTAGTTACTGCCCCCTGGAAATATGTAAGAAATTTGGATAAACATACAAGTGATGAGATCATCAAACAAAACACTTTGCTAACCTGCATTGGGACCAGTCTTAATTTCTTGGATGTTCATTATTGAAATTTAATTCTTGTCAAGAAGCAAGTACAGTAGCACACATTGAGGACATATTTTATTTCAAAGTGTAACTCAATGTGCAGGAACAAAAGAGCACTATTGAAGTTGGTGAGGGAGGAGGGTTGTTTGTTTTTTGTGAAATAGAGTATCATTCTGTAGAGTGTAATGGTATCGTCATAGCTCACTGCAACCTCAAACTGCTGGGCTCAAGCAGTCCTCCTGCCTCAGCCTCCCAAGTAGCTGGGGCTACAGGCTTGTGCTACACAGCCCAGCTAATTTTTCTATTTTTAATAGAGATAGGATCTCACTCTTGCTCAGGCTGGTCTCAAACTCCTGGCTTCAAGCAATTCTCCTATCCTGGCCTCCCAAAGTGGTAGGATTACAGGTATGAGCCACTGTGCCAGGGATCTTTTTCTGTATAAATATTTTTCCTGTAATTTTTATTAAATCGATTTGCAAAGGTTTTTTCTGTTGTTGTTGTTTTGTTTTGTTTTTGTTTTTTGAGACATAGTCTCACTTTGTTGCCCTGCGTGTTGTAGCATCAGTCTAGCTCACAGCAACCTCAAACTCCTGGGCTCAAGCAATCCTCCTGCCTCAGCTTCTGGAGTAGCTGAACTACACAAGCATGACACAATGTCTAGCTGATTTTTCTATTTTTAGTAGAGTCGGGGTCTCCCTCTTCTTGTTTATACTGGTCTTGAACTCCTAAGCTCAAGCGATCCTCCCACCTTGGCCTCCCTGAGTGCTTGGATTAAAGGATGAGCCATGACCATGCCTGGCCAATTTGCAAAGTTTTAATCATATTCTGTGAGAATTCTGATTGGTCAGAATATATAGATAATGATTTTCTCAGGTTTTCTGGCTTACCTAGATTCCTAGGTATTATCCCTAAAATCTTTGTTTCACTGTTACTTGAGAAATTGTATATGATGCTGTGTTCTCTTATAAAATGCAGTATTATGAACACACTTTACTTTTTCTCTGACTCACAGTCTCAGCACTTACATATAAATGACATCGGTTTGGCTAATATACCAACCAAATAAAGCATACATGTGAGGTCCTTTCTGGGACCTTTTTGCTTTTGCTTCATTAAAAAAAATACCTGTGTAATAATGGTGAATTTTTGGAAATATAGAATTATGAGAAATTGAGTTTAATCAATTCCCGAGCTCAGAACATGATTTTGAAATTTTGATTCTATTATTAAATACCTAAAATGAGAGTTTTTTTCTGTGATTTACCTTTTCTAAAAGTACATCACCAGGAATTCTAGATAATTAAGTTTTTACTATATTTCTGTTGCTCTTTGGAAATGCTCTACATTTGAAAAAGCTATGCATCCTAACTGAAAGGCAACTGTCATCATCTGTGGATATTTATTTTTTAAGTTTTACTTATAGTTTATTTAGAATTTCTGAAATAATTCTGGCTTAGTGGGGAGAAAGAAACCTTTTCTAAATTCCACTAGCAGTAATTTCTACCCTATATTCCTTTAAGTCCCTAAAGAAAATCTGATACTGACTGGCATGCTCCATACTTCCTACACTGACTTTTGTTTAACTCAACAGCAGGCAGTTGTCTGCAAGGCAGAAATCCTTTAGTAGGACTGATTAGTACATTCAAAAAGGAGTCTTTGTTTGGTTTGTTGACTTTAGAAAATGAGAATTTTTTTTTTTAATTTGGATTTATAAAATCTGCGAAATCACAGAACACCATAAAAGTTACATAACATAGAATCTTATGTTGCAGTTTTACCAATGTTGCAGTTTTACCATCTGAGTTCTTTTAATTTCATTAGTCTTCATAAATTCTGACTAAGTATTAATAACAAGGGAGACAGTATCAAAAACTAAGGTTGACACTGTTTAAGAGAATTTCTCAAGGTCATATGGCAGGTCTCCTAATGCCCAACTCTAGTCTGTGCGTTTTCCATTTGATAAAGTGCTGTATTTTTTGGCTGCCATTTATTAGGAACTGGTGGTGGTAGTATCAAATAGTAAAAGTGTATTTGCTTACTAATTTTGTGTTTATCTTTTATCAGTGCTTCTTATAGTGGTATCTGTCTGTACAGCTACTGGTGCCTGGAACTGGTTAATAGATCCTGAGACACAAAAGGTAGAAGTTTTGTTTTAAAATCTTTAGTGGATTAAATGAGATAAGGGATATTGCTTTGTTATCCCTTTGTACTTTGTTAATTATAAAGTATTAGTCAAATGTTAACTATTATTACTACTAGCAATATTAATCATATTAAAATATTCCTTATATTAATTTGCATAAGGAAAACTTTGGCTGGCTATGGTGAATTAAGTATCTTTACAAGGGAAAAGACCTAAGAAATATTATTCCACTTACATTATTTCTGAATTTGTATAGTTTTTACATTTTTTTGCATATATTATTTTTACTTATTTCATTGTGAACATTCTCTTTGTTCTGATGTGTTCATTTAATGTCATCAGTGCCAGCTTTTAAAAATCATATAATAACATTTCCTTCTGAGTTATCTCTCTTAATACCTTTTTTTATTCCATGAAGTATTTGAGACTTTACAGGAAACATAGATGATAAAATAGCAAAATAGAAGTGTAATAAAAAGTAGGGATAAATAAAAAACAGAGTAGGAGGTCAAAACCAGGAAGGAAACTAGGTCACTGATATATAGGCGGTGTGGTCCAGCACAATTGCCAGAATTGTATTATATAAGTTACTCTCCAGGGCCAGGTACAGTGGCTCATGCCTGTAATCCTAGCACTCTGGGAGGCCAAAGCATAAGCGTTCCTTAAGGTCAGGAATTTGAGACCAGCCTGAGCAAGGGTGAGACCCCATCTCTACAAAAAATAGAGAAATTAGCTGAGTGTAGTGGCAAACACCTGTAGAGTTTGAGGTTGCACTGAGCTATGGTTGATGCCTCAGTGACAGAGGGAGACCGTGTCTCCAAAAAAAAAAAAAAGTTGCTCTCAAAGTTATCTAATCAATGAAGTCACAGTTAATTCTATGATTTTCATTATCTGTGAGGAGAAGTCATGTATCAGTTCATTGAAGCTAGCAAAGCTTTTCTTTCTCGGCATTTATCTCAAACAATTTCCTGCTTGAAGTTCAATATAGGAAACAGGTAGAGCTCTCCCCTTGGGTACTGTGCAAGAATATTCCTATACCAAATACAATAACAGAATTCATAATGTTATTTCTTGAAACATTTCTTGATGAAGGCTGATAGCATGTTTTTCCAATTTCTACCACTTTCTACTAACTTGAACCTTTTCAAAGTCAGGCTTTTTTATTAGAGAAGCAGTAGTCTTCAAATTTTCAGTGAAGATTTTCCCCCCAGTGCAGTTTTATTTAGGTTGAAATGATGTGCTTTCCACAAATCTTTAAAATTCCTTCTTTTTAAGCTGTAATTAAGACTATTCCCAGTAGCTTTATTTATTACCTTTTAGGTTATACAGAAGGAAAACCTAATAGTAAGGCTTTTGTCATCATTCTCAATAGCAGTGTAGATAGACAGCCAGAGGTTTATTTAGCATGTGATCTCCCTGACTTTATCCACTGAGGTGGAGATGTAAAAGGATGGGAAGCAGGGGAGGTTGGTGATGGAATTTTATGTTAATAGAGGATTTCGATGGCAGACAAGAAACTCTCCTGTGTGTTCATTTATAAAAATCTGATCTTAAGGCTCCACTTGGTACTCATCTTTAGGGGAGGATTGGAAGGAGGCTGGCGAGAAGATTGAAAAAGATCTGTCTTGGGAAATGAGTCTGACTTCTAATTGGGAAAAATATAAGCTGATTTCAGCTAGTTGAGATCTTAATAAAACACAGAATTAAATGTAATTTGAAATAGGCCCAAAACTATGTAGTTAATATAATTTTCTAAATTAGGTGAGAATATGACTATTAGCCTAAGGGTTGGCTCTTTATATTTCAGTATTTAATAACCCCGAACCTGACAAAAGTTTTAACCAGCAATTGTGTCTAGCAGGAGTTGCCAACTTAGCCGCCAGTGGCTAGCTGGAAGAAACTAGGGAGAGAGAGAATATGGCAGATTGAAAAGTGCATGAATGCCCAGTCTGAGGGGGAGAACTGCTGTTGGCATGCAGTTGTTTATTGCCACACAGAAGAGAAGGCTGATACTGACTAACCTAATTAAAATTAAGACGTAAAGCTCTGTATGTGCTAACATTGTGCAGGCCACATAACACAGAGCTGGCTTATGAAAATTAAACTCTGCTCAGAGGTTTTAAGAAGGTATTCTTCTGGAATATTAACCTTTCTTTGGGATATCTTTCTGAGAACTTCTTCCCTCCTGATGTTTTCAGCCTCTCATTTCTTCACCTGACAAACTTATTTAACCACTACCATGTTGGACACCCTGGTGTTTTTCTCTGTCTTGAAATATGCATACATGCTTAGTTCTCTGTCTTGAAACATGTACATGTGAGTCTGTTGGTGTGAGAGTGAAGTGGGGCTGTCCTTAGCTTGATTCTGTTGCTCGTATCTCATTACTAATCCATTTGATTCATTTTTGCAGGTGTTGTAAATGCTTGTCTTCTCTCTTTCTTTGGTCTACATATCTGTTCCCCAGTCATCTGATTTCAGTGCCCACTCTTCAGTATTCCAATCACGTATCCTGGGCTCTTGTCCTTCTACATAGTCTTAGAATTGTGTATTGTCCTATTTTGTACTGTCATCTAATTACACACAGATCTGAAATTAGCTCTTTATTTCTCTTTAATTCTAGTTCTTTGTGGGTAGCTACTAATCATTTTTCCCTGCTTCAATGTCTTGTGGCCATCTAAATCTCAGTAGTTTCAAAACCAAACTTGTTTTTTGCTTCTGCAGGGAGAAAGGGTGATGCTGGAGCTGCATCTTATAAGGCTGTGGAGTTAGTTAGGGAGAGAGGTAACAAGGTAGCACAGGTGTGGAAGTGTGGCAGGAAAGGAAAATTAGACTGGGACCAGGTTACGAATGGCAGAATTTGCTCAGTTCTCTTAAGGAATATTTTTAACCAAATGTTAATGTTAACATTTGGAAAGGTAATTAGATTATATTTGGCTTCTGTTTTCATTGAGATCAGAGGCCTCATCTTTTTAAGCCACACAGAGTTCAGTACATATCTTTAGTAGGGTTGGTTTTTGATTATAGGAATGAATTTGTAATGGTTCAAGTATTTAAAATGGATGAAGAAAATGTTGCTAGACTGTCTTGCTATATAGAAGATACAAAGCATATACATTGTCTTTCTTTTACAGTATGGCAATACAGAGAACTAGGATTATTGGAAGTCTTCAAATCTTCATAGTTTAGATGATAAAAATATTACATATATTTATATATGAGTGGGAAGGTAGGAATCAGTATTATTCTATGATTTTTAACATTTTTATATTTCAAATTTTGTTTTACAGGTGTCCTTCTTCACATCATTATGGAATCATCCGTTTTTCACCATTAGCTGTATAACTCTAATAGGCTTGTTCTTTGCCGGAATACACAAGAGAGTAGTTGCACCATCAATGTATCCTTTACCATGGATTGAATTTTATTCCTTGGATTAAAATACCTACTTGGTGATGTGGGTGATTGTTAGAAGGTTACTCTTGAAATGAGAAATTTTCCTTTGACCACATTTATTCAGTATAGCTGCTCGATGTCGAACGGTATTAGCAGAATACAATATGTCTTGTGATGATGTAAGTATTTTTTTCATTAGAAAATTATAGACTTGTATGAAAGGACTGAAGTAATTAGCTTTAGAAAAACAGATATTAACAATAAATTGTCTCTGTGGACTTAATAGTGGGAATATACTTTATAGCACTGATTCGTGACCCTTTTTTTACATTTTAACATCTCTACCATTGAAATACATCTAATAATCAATGGAGTCTAACAATTAAATTGGCAGAGTTGGCAATTTAATCTTTGCTAATGACATAAAATCATGATGCATCTTACTACTTTTTTTTTCTGAGATAGGATCTCACTGTGTTTCCCATGCTGGACTCAAATTCCTGGGCTCAAGTGATCCATCTGCCTCAGCTTCCTGAGTAGCTGGGATTATAGGTACACACCATCATGCCCAGTTAATTTTTTATTTTAATTTTTTGTAGAGACAGGGTCTCACTTTTTTTTTCCCACCCAGAGAGATGGCATTCACTATGTTACTGAGGCTAGACTCAAACTCCTGGCCTGAAACAATTCCTCCCACCTGGCCTACTAAGTAATTGGGACTACAGGCCTGTACCACTGTGCCCAGCTAAAATAAAGCTTTCTTAAGACACAAACAGAAATGCAACCTGGTGTGGTGGTTTGTAATCCCAGCACTTTGGGAGGCTAAGGCAGGAGAATTGCTTGAGGCTAGGAGTTTGAGATTGCTGTGAGCTATGATGATGTCACTGCAGTGAAGCCCAAATGACAGAGTGAGACCCTGTCTCAAAAAAAAAAGAGGCAAAAATAAAAATGCCATAATGGAAAAAGTGGGATACATTTGATTGCACCAACATTTAAAACTTTTGTATAACAAAAGGCAAGAAAATAAGCTGTGATTAGAAGAAAGTATTTGTAAGGTATGTAATATTAATAATAGAGTATAGTATTCAGAATATTTAAAGACCTATTAAAAATCAATAAAGGCCGGGCGCTGTGGCTCACGCCTGTAATCCTAGCTCTTGGGAGGCCGAGGCGGGCGGATTGCTCAAGGTCAGGAGTTCAAAACCAGCCTGAGCAAGAGCGAGACCCCGTCTCTACTATAAATAGAAAGAAATTAATTGGCCAACTGATATATATATAAAAAATTAGCCGGGCATGGTGGCGCATGCCTGTAGTCCCAGCTACTCGGGAGGCTGAGGCAGAAGGATCACTCAAGCCCAGGAGTTTGAGGTTGCTGTGAGCTAGGCTGACGCCACGGCACTCACTCTAGCCTGGACAACAAAGTGAGACTCTGTCTCAAAAAAAAAAAAAAAAAAAAATCAATAAAAAAACAGATGTGAATAATGTTAAGGGAGGAGGACGGGTTCAAGGCTGCAGTGGGCTGTGACCATGCCACTGCACTCCCAGCCTGAGCAACAGAGCAAGACCCCATTTCTTAAAAAATAAAATAAAATACAATAAAAGTCAATAAGAAAAAGACAAATAGTCCATTTAAAAAATGGGGCAAAGTATGTCACAGAAGAGGAAATACAAATGGCCAATAAACATACATAAAGACTAGACAACCTCATTTGTAATCAGGGAAGTGCGAAGTAAAACAGTGAGTTTTCATTTGCTTTACCTGTCAGACTGGCAAATACTCTGCTAACTCTAGTATTATGGTGACGTTGATACACTCATGCACATTGTGTTGGCAATATAAATTGGTACAGCCATTTTGTAGAGTAGTTTTTCATCATTCTTTTAAAATGTAAAATGTTGCACGCACCATGAGCTAACTGTTCTACTTCTGTGTCTCTACCCTGGTGGGGCGAGGCGGTGTGGGGCAACTATCACACATGCACACAAGGGGGCAAGTGTAAGGTGGTTCATTGCAACATCCTTTGCAGAAGTAAAAAGAGACAATCTTTACACCTCTCAGCAGGGAAGTAGTAAAACAGGCTTCGGTGTAGCTGTGTCTTAGAAAACTAGAAGTAAGCTTTTATGTAAATTTGTAAGTAAATCTATGGATGATTTCCAAGATAAAGTGTTAGGTACAAAAAAAAAGCACAAATTACCAAACCATATACTCGGGTTGTACCTTTTTCTAGAATATTTTTTTTAATTTATTTTTTTTTCCAGCATATTATGGGGGTACAAATGTTAAGGTTACGTATATTGCCCTTGCCCCCCCCCAAGTCAAAACTTCAAGCGTGTCCATCCCCCAGTTGGTGCACAACGCACTCATTATGTTTGTATATACCCATCCCCTCCCCCTCCACCTGCCCAACACCCAATAAATGTTAATCCTATATGTCCATTTAGGTATTGATCAGTTAATACCAATTTGCTGGTGAGTACATGCGGTGCTTATTTTTCCATTCTTGGGATACTTCACTTAATAGAATGGATTCTAGCTCTATCCAGGAAAATACAAGAAGTGCTCTAAAATTTTAATTATGAAAATTTTCAAACATAATGGAGGAGTATAATGAACTCTCATGTACACATTAACCAGTATCAGTAATCAACTCATGTCTATTCTTGTGTCATCTGTGGCCCTGCCCAAGATATCAAGAAATTACCAAAACCTAAACAGCCAAAATTTAAGTGAAAGTGAGAATCAGGAGGTAACCAGGAGTCCTGCCAATACTTTTGACCTGAGGATAAAAATAAAGTACATTAATTAAAACCACCTGGGAATCAGCCCAAAGCTAATCACTATGTTTTGAATTTTGTTGTATATTTTCATTGACCTTTTATGAAAGGCAGATGTTACTAACTTTTCAAACCTGCTGCTTTGACCCAGCGTTAGGACTTAAGAGCTGCCAGTTACTGAACATTAACCATATGCAAGGTCCTGCCTGTCCTTATCCCTTTAACCTACATTCTCTCAATTGAGATCTTACATTCTTTTTTTTTATTCTAAAAAATTCATCCACAAAATTTTATTTTCATCTTATTATTTTTTTGACATACTTAAATTCAGGTCTTTAATTCTATTGAATTGCATATTGTTCCATTTAATGAATTCATCATAATTTAATCCCCTATTGGACATAATGTTTGATTCCCAGTAAATATCTTATCTGTGTTCCCACTAGAACTTTAGCTACACAGAGACAAGGGTTTTTGTTTAGTTTGTTGTTGGATCCGTAGCACTTCACACAGGGTCTGGCACATATTAGGCACTCAGTAAATGTGGAGTGAATACATTAATAACACTTCTTTGTACATCTTTACACTCACATCTGGTTTCTTCCAGATAAATTCCTAAAAGTAGACTTGTTTGGATAATGTAGTATGTGCTTATTATTTTTTAAATAAATATGACTCGGCCCATTACCCCATACTGAACGCTAGCAGCATATGAGTGTCTGTTACTCCAACCATTGGTTTACTTTTTAAGCTGAGGAATTAAAACTTTATGTTGGAAAGGAGTAATGTTTTGTTCAAATACATACTTTATTTATTATTGTAAACTTCATATAGTAAGAGGCATAAGTCTATACTAGTTGAAATTTTATTTTTACAATGGACCTTCTGAGTTAAAAAAAACGAAATTTTATTTTAACCGGTGGATTGATTGACTTGATTTCTAGGTAGTCAGTGGATAGGAAATTCAAATAAAGACATGTATGTGTGGGCTGGGCACGGTGGCTCACACCTGTAATCCCAGCACTTTGGGAGGCCAAGGCAGGAGGATCCCTGGAGCCCAGGAGTTTGAGACCAGCCTGGCAACATAGTGAGACCCCATCTCTACAAAAAAATAAGAAAAATTAGCCAAGTGGCATGGTGCATGCCTGCAGTTCTAGCTGCTTAGGAGGCCTAGGTGAGAGGATCACTTGAGCGATCCTCTCACCTAGGTAATTGGAGGCTGCAGTGAGCTATGATCATGCCACTGCACCCCAGACAGAGTGAGTGTATGTTTTAAAGTAAAAAATTCAGAAGAAAGCTCCACACAAAGGAAACTGTGAAAACATAAGTATTAATTGTTTAACCACTTCTGTACGGAGCTCACCGGCCGCGAAACCTTGCCCACAGCCAGCACTCATAGTTAGCACGACAGTTTGTGCTGTGCATTGACGACGAATCCGTTTTGCTCCTGTGTGATGAGGAGAGCTTTAAAGCACCGAAAGCTTGTTTTACTTTACAGACAGCTTTACTTGTAATGTAAATCAGAATAGGTAACATATACACATATGTTTTCATTACATTATTTTTAAATGTTCACAATTTTATTTTGATAAATGAAAAATTAGAAAAGTTTTGTTATTAATGCTAAAGTCGATGTTTGGCTGTGCATCTTCAAATCACGGCTGTTGACTATAGTTGACGCTCGACTGTGCGCGTTCATCTGTGGCTGTTGACTATAGTCGACCGTCACTCGTACTGAAGTGGTTAACCTCTGCTAAGTACAGGGAAATTCCTGATACCTTGTGAATGCCCTTTAAGGCTTACATATAGGTGGTGGCATTTTTCATAGAATTATATATTGAAATTTTTTTTTTCATTTTTTACAGACAGGAAAACTAATTTTGAAACCTAGGCCTCATGTTCAATGACAGTCTGCACTCATTGTTATGGGACCTAAAACAGCCTTTCTTCAAATAAGTGATACAGCAAAAAGCCATAAAGGATTCCTTTGCAGTTGGATATGTGAAGGTCATAGCAACAACTGACAAGAAGTGTGCAATATTTACCCAGATTATCTTGATGATGATGACTCACGTTATCAGTGCTTTGGTACCTTTGATTACCTGTGTTTCAGTATTAGTGTCACTTTAGTACTTCAGATCCTGCAAAGATTTTTGCAGGTGAAGTATGTATGTATGTATGTTACTAAGTTAAACTTAGAAACAGAAACTCATTCAGTTTTTATAATGTATTTTTGCAGATGACTGTAAATAGCAAATCAATGCCAATGTTAAACAAAAAGAAAAATGTTGTATGGACTTTGTTCTCCTGCACCAGTATTTCAGGAACATCTGCTTGCCATCCCACAGCTCTTTAAGACCGGCTATTATGTGTGCCTTTCATTCTTATACTTTTTTTTTTCTTTCAAGAGAACAGATAAGTGACATACACTTATCTTGTATTCATACTGCGGGACAAACATTGGATTCATGAGGAAAACTCATCTCCATTATGTTGTAAGAAATTATAGATGATTTGAGAAACACTTTTTGTTAAACTAGATATTGAACTCCAGCAACTATTGTGGTTATATTTTTCAGTTTATTGTTTTCATTTAATGCTAAATATCATTTATATTTTTTTAATAATTTTAAGAACACCCCAAATGCTTGTGAATATGCAAGTTTAGTAATAATTATGTGTTGTCTGGGAATTTGACAGTTATTATTTTAAATAACTGGATTTCATGCTGTGGTGGGCCTGCTGTGACACTGGTACTGCACAGGTGTAATTGATCATCCGCTCCACTGCAGGATGGCGTGGGAGCCGAACCACAAACTAGTCTACAATTCTCACTGTTCAGAGAGTGTTAATGACATACTGTGTATGCATAATAGCCACATGTACTATAATAGCCCTTAAAATCAAACTATTGGGATTGCTGTAAATATTTTAAAGTACTAGAGGTGCCTTTTACCTGTTTATTAAAAGATTTTGAAAAGGTTAAATTATTTCATGAGCAATCTTTTAAATTTCATTTAACATAAAGTTGAAAATTCAATAACAAGACAAAAACTTTTTAGTAAGGCTGCCATTTAACTTAAATGTTCATCTTAGCTTTCACATGTATAAAATTTTATTCTTTGAACTGCAGCAATAAAATCCTCTGTTCCTAAAAAGTCTTAAGAGGGTATTCTATATATTCTGCTTTGTTTTATTTTCTGTAAATTTTGTAGGTAAATATGTGCATTAAAATAAATACTTTATATATAACCAGTATTGGGCTTTTCTTTGGTTTATTGTAAATCTGTAACTCTGAAAATATTTAAAACATTGTATCAGATATAGCCTAGTTCCAGTTGAAATATTTTTCTTTAACTCTGTGTCTAATAGAGCAAGTTTTAAGTAGCAATTGTAGGTACCCAGTTTATTAGGCTATTATTACTTTTAATATGTCCTATTCATGATAGTCTAATAACATTTGGCTTTTAATCATAAGACGTAGGTTTTCTCATATTGCTCTTTACAAACTTGGATTGCCAGTTTCCTCCAAACTACAAAGCTGAATATTTTATAGGTCTTTAATCTTTTTTGGAGTCATGTACTCCTGTGAGTATTTGATAAAAGACTCTTCTCCTCTACAAAAATACACCTGTGTGCATTCATATACTTTGCATGCACTTGCATCAGGAGGGAATTTCCTGATGACAGGCCACTTGGAATTCATTGACTCCCAGAAAAAACAGAATTCTGTTATAATTCCAGAAACTTTTCATACTTTTACTTCTAGTAGAACAGTTCATTTTCGGAGACAGTCTTGGTTGTACTGACCCAGGATCCATGCTGCCCCAGTGTCTCACTTGCACCTCCACCCTCTCGTCCCCTCTCCCACACTGTTAGGAACTCAGTCCCATCCTCTAATTTTACAGATGGGGAAAAGTCTCAGATTTGCAAATTGTCCTTCCTTCCTTTAGTTCCCCACAACTTCTTAAAGACTGAGCCAACAAATATCTGGCTCAGATTGAAAGGATGTTTATGTGTGTGTGGTCAATTTGTTAAGAGCTGTTACAATGTGAAGAATGTAGACTCTAGGCCACACTGGATTTGAATCTCAGATCTGCTACTTGGTAGTTTTGTAATTTTAGGAAAGTTATGTAACCGTTTCCTCATGTATTAAATAGGCATAATGCCAGTCTACTAGGTATAGGAAGATAATGTATGGGTTGTAGGCATAATGCCAAACTTCCAGGTGTATGTTGAGTACTAAAGTGTGAATTCGCATAAAGCACTGAAATAGTCTTGGCTGCAGAGTCAGTGCTCACATTTTGCTCAGTAAACTTAGTTGTTAAGCCAAATCCTCACATCATTAAAAAAAACAAAACCCAAAATCTCTTTGATGCAACTTTACCCAAAGTCAACATCGTGGTTGAGATAACCATGAGGAAATTCAGCCTATCTTGAACCAAACTCCTGAATGTTGGATTAAATGCAAACAGAGAATATTAGGCCTCTAATGATTAAGAAAATGGTGTTTAAGTGTCTAAGTCTTCATGAACAACCTCACCAAAAATATTAAAGCTGCAGCTACCTGCTACCATGTTTCCTCAAAAATAAGACAGGGTCTTACATTTAGTTTTCCTCCAGAAGACACCCTAGGGCTTATTTTCAGGGCATGTGTTATTTTCCCCTCAAAGCCTCAGCTTGCAGCACGCACAGGATGGCTGGGACCTGTCAGGGGAGCCGACCTCCTTGGCAGGGCTCCCCGCACCTTCCGGTCACTTCTGGGATAGCAGCTGTCACGATGGGGCAGATGAGAAGGGCTGCTTGTCTTCTTTACCACTCTGCGATGAAATGCACGGGTTGTGCAGATATGCTGCGTAGCCACGCCCACCACTATGTCTTATTTTCGGGGTAGGACTTCTATTGCGGAAATGCTTAGAAATCCTGCTAGGGCTTACTTTATGGGTAGGTCTTATTTTCAGGGAAACACGGTAGTGCTGCTTTCTGAGGTGCCGTAATTGGCATTTTGTGGAGCCTGTGCTGGCATTCCTAGCTGACAAACGCTGATGCTGATGAAGGCAGGACGTCACTCCAATCCTGTTGAAACTGTAGAAATTTGGGTCTCATTCTCTGGATTCTGGGCTTTTTATATGCTTTTACAACGGGGAAATATAATTTCTATCTTTTCCCCTCCTTTTTCCTCCTACTAAAAATAGGAAGTAAGTACATCTTGTCTGCTTCAACATGGAACACAGACATTTTAAAAACTAATGTTTTGGGTTTTTTTTTTTGGAGACAGAGTCTCACTCTTGTTGCCTGGGCTAGAGAGTGCCATGGCATTAGCCTAGCTCACAGTAACCTCAAACTCCTGGGCTCAAGCAATCCTGCTGCCTCAGCCTCCCGAGTAGCTGGGATGACAGGCATGCGCCACCATGCCCGGCTAATGTTTTGTATACATTTTTAGTTGGCCAATTAATTTCTGTTTTGTTTTTTTTTTTAGTAGAGACGAGGTCTCACTCTTGCTCAGGGTAATCTCGAACTCCTGAGCTCAAGCAATCCTCCTGCCTTGGCCTCCCAGAGTGCTCGGATTACAGGCCTGAGCCACTGCACCAGGCCAAAAACTAATGTTTTTAGTGGACAATCGATGTCTGCTATGCAAGTCTTTGAGTGTGTGAGAGACAAAATATTAGTAAAACAATATTTGCTACCTAAAAGTTTGAGGTGTGTTCTTTCATCACCTTTATAGACTGCACGTTATATGGCAAATGTTTGCTACATATTAAAAATGTGTGAGGGCCAGACACGATGGCTCACACCTGTAATCCTAGCACTCTGGGAGGCCAAAGTGGGAGGATAGCTTGAGCTCTGGAGTTTGAGATCAGCCTGAGCAAGAGCAAGACCTCGTCTCTAAAAATTAGAAAAATTAGCTGGTCTTGGTGGTGCGTGCCTATAGACCCAGCTACCCGGGAGGCTGAAGCAGGAGGATCGCTTGAGCCCAGGACTTTGAGGTTGCTGTGAGCTAGGCTGACACCATGGCACTCTAGCCCAGGCAAGAGAATGAGACTCTGTCTCAAAAAAAAAAAAAAAAAAGTGTGAGGAAGAAGTTCTGCCCTCTCAGAACTTGTTTGCCAGTGAGAATACAGACCAGTGGTCAGTGCCAGGTGGTTTAAGTGCTACGAAAGGTAGAAGTGTAGGGTGCTGTAGGAGCCTGTGGGAAGAGGAGCAAGCCAGACAAGCCTTTCTAAGGAACTTGATTACCAGACATAGCCGGTGTGTTTTGGGAGTGGGGGCAGCAGTTTTGGAGGGAGGTTCTGACAAGAGAGACGACGGGGAGTAGGAACCAGAACGTGGTGCTTCATGCGGGCAATGGGAAGCCATCGAAGTGTTTTGCGTTAGGGAAGTCACTTAGCCCGATTTGCATTTTGTGGTGACTGAAGGGCATGGCCTGGGAAGCCAGCTGGAAGCTGCTGCGACAGTCCAGGCGAGAGATTCAGGCTCCTGAATTAGAGTTCAGGTAGTAGAATCTGAGAAGAAAGAGTGGGACTGAGCAGAGGACACGAGAGGAAGCAATTAAGCACAAAGCCTGCCACCACCACCACTGTTCCCAGCCTGTGTGACTTGTCACAGCAGTAAAGCTTCTACGATCAGTGCTTGGGAGCCATTACACCTTCCTCTTGGAGATTCTGCTCTAAAGGATATTAAAAGTTCCAAGTGGCCCCACAATAGAGAAACTTGCTTAACTGCCTGCTTTGCTGCCATTTCATCAAAGACCTATTAACATTCATGTGGCTCTGTGGGTGTTTGTTGCAGTTTCTGTCTGCACAACTCTTTTTTTTTCTCTTTTTTTAGAGATAGGGTCTCACTCCATTGCCCAGGCTGGAGTGCAGTGGTACAATTATAGCTCACAGCAATCTCAAACACTTGGGCTCAAGCAATCTTCCCACCTCAGCCTCCTGAGTAGCTGGGCATGTGCTTCCCATTGCCTGCATGAAGCACCACGTTCTGGTTCCAACTTCCCGTCTTCTCTCTTGTCATAACCTCCCTCCAAAACTGCTGCCCCCACTCCCAAAACACACCGGCTATGTCTGGTAATCAAGTTCGTTAGAAAGGCTTGTGCCTACAGGCATATGCCACCACTCCTGGCTAATGTTTTTAAATGTTTTATAGAGGTGGGGTCTTACTATGCTGTCCAGGCTGGTCTTGAATACCTAACCTCAAGTGATCCTCCCAATTCAGCCTCCCAAAGCACTGGGATTACAGGCATGAGCTACTGTGCCCAGCCTTGCCCAACTCCTTTCAAGTATCCTTGCTGGGTGAGGGGAATGCCAGCGGTATCGGTCCATCCTCTCCCATGACAACCCTGGAAATTTCCCTGACTCCCGCATTTGGGGCACAGGCACATGGGAGGCGATAAAGCTGCATTTCTCTTGCAGGGCACTGGGTAGTGCTCGGTGGTGGCATCAGTTTCCCCATCTGGCCAGTCCTATGGGATGGGTTTGGGCATTTTTTTCTGGAACTTGAAACTTGTATCTCTAGGCCTTCTGAGGTACCCAACATCCTTTAAATAATTTGTTTTCTATTTAGTCAAAGCCAGCTTCTCTTGCTTGCCTCACTGCTGGAGCAGGGCACGGCAGCGGTGTTCCAGGAGCGCACGCTGCGGCAGCTGGCCTGTGCGGGCACTAGAGACGCCTCCAGCCACGCCTGGCGCGCCCTGGCCGGGCGAGGGCTCGGGGCTGTGTGCCCTGGAAGAGCCCAGGCTTGCCAGATCCACTTGGATTATAGTCGTGCTTCCTCCAGTAGACACTGGGCAAGTGACTCATTCTCTCTGAATCCTACTCTCCTCCGTTAGGCCTATGAAATAGCTATCTTGTGAAATTGTTGTAAGGATGAAATGCTTACTTTGCGTCCCCATTCTGCGACCTTGTCATGCATGTATCTTGAGAACCCGAGAGTACCTGGCATATGGGAGATGCTCAATTCCTGTTGGTTGAATTAATAAATGAATCTTGACTTTGGTATTAAAATTGGGTTTGAACATAAATATCATTCAGTCATAAGTTTTTTACATCATTTGTTTATTGAGTATGGGGTGAGGTTCTTAAGATAGAAGGCTAAATGCTAAAATTGTAATTTAAATAACAGTAGGAAAACTAAATCTATTAAAAGTTCAGTAAGTAAATCAAAAGAAATATATCCTTGCCAGAGGTTGATTTTTTAAATTTGAGTTTCCTATAATTATCTGTCACTTTCATCAGACTTATTTTTTCCTGCTCTAC